GAACAAAACGAGACACCGAATCGAATCGCTGACGACGAGTTCCATTTCTCGCCGGACAAATCCAAATCCAGATTTTGACTCCTGACGTTTCTCCGCCGCGAGGCCTTCACAAAAAGCCTCCTCTGGAGTAGTTATCAGTCCTCCATCAAGGTGAAGCTTCCATGCACACTGGGCCATAGATGCCCGGCGTCTCCACGTTTCATAGGACTCATTGGTGATTTCTCTTGTGGTGATTCACAGAATTCTTATCATTAAGCCATTTTCGAGGCAGAACCCAAAAAACAGCCTCATAGTGTAAAGTTAAACTTTGTGGATATTTTCCCGCATTATGTTTCTGTCTTTAAAACACCTACAGGCAGATAATTAACCTCCAAAAGTCACTCTGAAAGGAATTTGACGGCTCCGCGTGCTTGCGGAGGCGGCTGGCTTTTATTGCCCTCTTGAGTTTTTCGTCGGTCTTTTGGTTCGGGTCTTGAAAATGTCCACTAGTGACTGATGGCCGACGAAGAAGCAGCAATGAGATCCTCTCACCTCAGCGATGCGGAGCGCTTCTGTTCAGCAGTGGTGTGAGATTGTTCTCTATCCGGGTTCAGCTGAGGACGCTTTCGTTTGTTCCCAAGGAGACATTAGTGCCGCCCGGAGGCGGCACAGCATCGCTCAGGGTTCTTCTCGCTCCTAACGGACCCGCACTAACCATTTGGCTTTCACGGCACTCGTGTACTTTGGAGTTGATGAGTGAGTCTCGTGGAATTGAGAGAGCAAGACACACAGTCACGTTGCCTCTCGCTGTCATTTCCTCCCCCAGGCGGATGTGAATCCGTAAGCAACGCCGAGCGGCTGTTTCTCTCAAATGAGGATGACACACTTTATATGAAAACCAATTCTGAAGCTCATTAACGCTGTCGGACTTCTTTTCCTCAACGAAAAAGGAAAGAAAGGTGTGCGTACGCTGGCATCTCCCTCAAATGCATCTGCAGAACTGCAGCCGCGCAGTTTAGTCGTGTAATGTCAGCTCTTTCGCAGAGTGGGTGGAATTATTTAATGCTGTCGAGTCCTGATATCACACTGATAGGGTGAGCCTCTAGTCTCCGAACAGGAAGAAACGTAATGAAAAAGCGAGAGACGTCTTGATACCTTCGGCATTGGGGGGCCACGGTGAGAACACGAGGCTGCTTATTCTTAGGGGTTGGAATCAACTTAAAAAGGGAAAGATTGTTTGAAGCCCTCGGGGAGGAGCAGCATTCACAACAACAGCAAAGAGGTTAGTTGGCCTCCAAACGGCAAGTGGACAGCGAGTTTTTTTTGGGAGGCGTCTTTGCTTTTATGATATGATATTAATTTGACCCGAATAAATTGCGTATTTGCAGAGATGCTTGTTGACTTTTCCCGTCCCGTGATGCAGGATCTGTGTGAAAAGTATGAAAAGACACAGCAGGGAAGTCTGGATGCTGCCCTAAAAATGTCAAGTTGTCTGAAAACTTGCCGCATAAAACTATCAAACACGCCAGAGGTTTGTAATTAAGGGGCAATTTTGGGGAAGCTGCACATTTCCAAGAAGAATTTTCTATTACTCAATGGAATTACAACGGAATACAAAAGAACCGAGTTCTTCTTCAATAAACTTCTCTCGGCCGTCTGGGGAGGGCGAGCGGTGGTCTTATTTCAAAGGTTTAGTGACGTGTATTATTCAGCACACGTGTGTGTGTGTGCCTATAGAAACAACCATGCATGCATATTTATTCATGAATGAAACGTGTCAGACAGCAAATTGATTCATTGTTTCTAATCAATCACTAACCAATAACGGCTCATTGTCACTTGGAGGCGGTCCTTATAAATCCTCGGTCCACTGGTGCCACACGGCGCTACGGGACCAATGACTGCAGATTTGGAATCTTCCCGCCCATCAGCCAAGCACGATTGTGCTTTTTCTCAAGAGCTGACTGATTATTTGAATCTGTGACTTACATACTCGGCAAAACCCACTCACAGTATTTCAGCGATTTTTGTCAAAAATGTGAACTTCTTTTGACGAACATTTTTACAGAGCAAAAAAGGATTTTCAAAAATCCGTCACTGGGCATGAAAAAGCAATTAGTAGAAATACAAAAAGGCTCCTTTTCTTTCCCTGAGTGTGTGACTTGACTCCACAGCAGTTGCAGCTGCAGCCCGGGGCCGGTGTGGATTACGCAATGTTAGAGGGACGCGGTGCAGTGGGAAGGTGTGTTAAATGCACTTCCTGCTGTGTGTGGCGCTGTGCATGATTGCTAGAGAGGCGCCAAGATAAGCTACGGGGCAACAGCCTTGAGGTTGAAGTTGCCCCGGGGGAACTCTTGCGTTGATTTCCGGTGGTCTGGAAGTCCTCCGCGCACACTTCGCCTCCCTTTCCCTCTGGCAGAACCACGCGGGATACAAAGCCCGGGCCGCCCCGCAGCCTGCTGGCGACGGGCTTTGCAGCAAGGAGAAGCTCTGCAATGACACCAAATCATCACACGTTTTGGAGCTTCTAGAATCATTAAACACGATGCGTGTTTCTCTCCTGGATCGCCGTTGTAGGGGTGAACCTCAGGGAGCTAAACGTGTTGTTTTTAGCTGCATTAAATGTCAACGCATAACGTGACGTCAATCACAAAGCACCTCCCAATGTTCTTCTAAAAGCGTTTACTTAACCCTGCTGTTGGTTGATGCACCGTAAAAACTAATTCACACACTAATTTAAAGTGCAATAAACAAAAGTTAATGAGCTAGAAAGGGAATATTAGAGGTTAGCAAACCCTCAAATGTTTTTCCTGTTTATGAAAACAGTCTCCGTTTCACTGCAGTTTTTGTCGTGTGCTGCTGATCTGAAATAATGAAGAATTAGAAAAGTACCGTTTTTTCTGTTTGAGTGGCTTCACGTTCATCTCTCTGCATCTCCTGCTCCCTTTTAGCTGGAGAGCACATCTGGCTGATACATTATAATGTTGTAGAAAATCTTCCTCTTTTGTGCTCTCACCTCATCCTTGATCCTACATCCTTGATGTAAGAAAATGTACACTGACACGCAATTTGCCCTTTTGCTTTCGACTGCCTCACATCATCGTTCAACGTGATCTCCAAAACCTGTTCGTAAAAATGTAGACGAAAATCTTGAACAGAAAAATTCGTAACAACACATAGGAACTGGCGGCAGTTAACCACGCCCCCTGAGTGAACAACATGGCGGACCATGTCGGATTCTTGAGTGAACGTCTCTCCGCCATGTTGGATTTTTTGAGGGGGTTAGGGTTAGTATTCTATTCTTACAAGTTAACATTGATTTCTCGTTAAAATGCAATCATAACACGTTTTTTTACATCGTTAGACGCAACGAAGTGTGTTTACGGGGCGCAGGTCCCCGTTCACTTTGAATAGGGTCGCAGTCCGTATTTATTTAGTATGTATCACTACGAATTTGTATGTTGAAGATTTTCGTACACATTTTTACGAACAGGTTTTGGAGATCAGGCTGCGTTGTTGCTGCTGTGGTGCCTCGGAAGCCATCGACAAACAACCAAAGCAGCTGGATGCCAAACGTCATGAACAACAGCGATTTGAGGCAAACTATGGGAGGGTTTTATTTTGGGTTATGGTTTTCAAATTTAAATTTTTCAAATTTTATAATTAGCCATCTTGTTCAAAGGAAAAACAAATACAGATGCAGACGTCTTGTCTCACACACCTGCGAGTTTGAATAAGTGAACGTGTCTCAGTGTAAACCCCAAATGGAATCATGTCTTCACCTGCAGCCCATATGTTTAGGAGATAGCTGCAGATAACCAGTATCTCAGCAGACGTTACTGCAGGCACGGCTGCAGGACCCTGATATACTCCCTGTGTTCCAGACACGTACGTCAGGAGGGATCCGAACATGGGAATATGTCGCTGAAAAGGACTACAGGATCTGTTGAAACGCAACAGCAATCTTTACTCCAATTGGGCTTTAGAAGCACAAAGACTGCGAGGACCTTCCCGAGGTTCGTGGAGCTACAGCAGGGTTTCACTTCGATAAACAATGGGCGTTTTTTTTTTGCAAAAGGACATTGATCTGTTTTATTTATTATCAATCATTGGCAACAAAGCAAGAATTACGCTTGTATAATAGGGTTCTCATATTCCGATGCACCAAAATCCAAGCACAGATCCCACTGCAGCAATCATTCCTTGAGAAGAACGCAGGAGCTGGAGAACGGTGCTCATCTCGGGCCATGTAGTCACTTGGTGAGACGGCTGAGTGCACGTTAGTGTTGTTTGAGTAAATGTTATTAGCAAAGTCATTGTCATGCTTGAACTAGACAAAGAATCGAACCCTGAATCTATGAACTCCACACGCCTGCTCTGACTAAGGCCACACTTAGTGTTTAAGTATCCACTTCTAATGACATGACATAAGGTCTGAATAGTGTGTATCAGGGTCACTTTGTTTTTCACTAGGAGACTATTGCAGCTTTATCCACTGCACAGGCCGTCCACTCCTCCCTGATGAAACATCATCTGACCGTGACATTGAAAGACCTGACGACTTTACATTCCGCTCTGCATCCAGCTCGCATCGCGGCAACACAGACGATCAAGCCTCTTACATTCCAGGGGCAGGTGTGTTCAGGAGAAATGACTCATGTGGAGAATGTTCAGCCTGGAGGAATCAGTCCACGAGTGAAGAGCAGGTTTCCTAAAGAAGAACATCAATTACACAACTAGTGCTAATTTCCAAGGTTATTTGGATGGATTCATCTGACATGTGCATTTATTTATACGTTGAGCCTTATAAAATAATAACATACACATATATATGTTCAGTTCTTATGAAATCCACTGATGGAATCCAAAGTACAGGCACTCAAGAAGCCACATTTTGCATATTTAAATCTCCAAAAATGATGTAAAATACTCAGGCTGTTCCTTTAAAAAATAAAACGCATGTAGAATTGTGATGTGCGTGACGTCAGGGAGCTCATCAAATATTTATAGTGCATATAGATCTTCCCAACTTCTGTACGAAAAGGAACGGCGGGCTGAGCGCGCAGGTCCGGTTGGAGGGGAGCAGGACGTCGCGCCGCGGGGACGCACGACGTGCCCGACTTTTCTCTCAGTCGACACACACAACGGGGGAGAAGCGGCAGAAACATGGGCGTCAAGTTCCTCTGGGATTCATTTTAACATCCACACGAGCCACTCCACACTACTTCGCGGCAACTTGCTTAATCAGACGCCGACGGACCGATTTCTTTCCCACGGCGCCGAGTTCCTCGCAGCTCCGCGACCCATGAGGAGGGACGGCGCGGTTTACGCGCAGCTGGAGCCTCCGACCGGCCGCCCCCGTCCCCGCGCGCCGGTCCGTCGCGCCCAGCTCGAACCGGCGGCACCGGCGGACTCCGACCGCGCGCCGACGGAGGAAAGAGTCTCCTTGATGGAAGACCATGCGGCGCTTTGAACCCATGGAGACATGGCACATAGGTTCCTCTCATCTACGAACAGATCCAGCACCCGATTCGCCTTCATCTTCACCGTGTCGCTGTCCTGCACCTACCTATGCTACACCATCCTCTTCTGCCGCGGCACCGTCATGAGCAACCAGGCTTACGAGGGCAGGAGATGCTCGCCGAGCAAGAACGCGGGGGGGAAGAAACTTCTTGGAAAACTGGAGAATTGCGCGTCGCCGGGCGTCCGGTCCGTTGTGGAGGAGCCCGCCGCCCGGCGAGGACCGAGCGAGGTCAGCGAGCCGAGCGGAGCCCCGGGCGGCCCGGCGGGGGGGCAGTGGGCCGACGTGAAGTTCAGAAACATGAGCGTTGCGCAAAGATATGGGGACAAGAAGCTGCCCAACGCGTTAATAGTCGGCGTGAAGAAAGGAGGCACCAGGGCGGTGCTGGAGTTCATCCGGATACATCCAGATGTGCGCGCTCTTGGAACAGAGCCGCACTTTTTCGACAGGAACTATGACCGAGGGCTCGACTGGTACAGGTGAGCAACGGGGATATTTCTCTTTTTTGCCTTGATATCGTGCGCGCAGCGTGTGCGGTTCAGTCACCTCTTGATCCGCCGGGCAAAGGAATCTGGTGACGTCACGATGTGCACTTCCATGCCCGTTCCGCTCGTTTTATGACGGGAGTGAATTGCATTTTATTACAGCACAAGTCACTTCATCGGTGGCCTATTATTCGATGGCACGTTTGATCTAATAACACATCTGGGCATGTCACGGACACACAAACCTAAAAAGCATTAAGATCACATCTTGTGAGGGCTGCAGATGTTTCACCATGGTGGTGAACAGACACACACAGACAGCGCTGTGATGGTTTGTGCTTTTAAGTGAGCCGTGCCAGCAGACAGAACGATACCGATCGCCCGCTTGGTCCATTCCCACAAAAGGTGTTATCCCAACAGGGATATAAATATATAATATTCAAATTTATAGTGGACAGTGGACTTAAGATGAACTGTCTAGATTTTGGGGGGTCAAAGGTCACCAGGTGTCAATCCGTTCCATGCGCTTTGAGGGAATGGCTTCATGTTTGGCCCAAATGTACAATAGGATAAAATGAAGCGATGACAATGTGTTAAGAAATGGATTTAAATTGCACCTGGACGGCTTATGGAGGTAATTCTAGTATTTTATTGGACAAATTGTCATGAGGAGCATCCTTTAATAAATGAACATCATATTAGTGGGCTGTCACTAAGACCATCACATCATCTAAATTGAGTTCATCAAAGCGCAGAGCTGGAAAGTTTCAATCGGTCCATAAAGTACAAAACGTGATTGTTATTTTACATTTGTGATTTAGAGATTCAAATGAACTTTGATTTAACCTTAATAGTCAATCATCCCAAAAAACAGTAAAAGAAATGAAATAACAACGCAGTGTACCTATTGTCAGTATTAATGCAGTTTACTCATGCGGATGCTGTGCGACACGTTTTATTTCTGCACAGGAAGGAGCTTTTCAAACAGGATGCAACAGTTAAAGTTTGTCTTCATTGTTGAGTATATTTGACAAATGAATCGCGAAGGGCGTCGCTCCTTTCCACACTCGACAGAACGAGCTGGGAAGCTTGTTAACAGCCTCCACACGTGGCGGCTGCATGCGGCCCGCAGGACGCTGCTTTTCTGGGAAGAAACGCGTCGATTTGAGCCGGAGGCGGAACGTAGACGCGGTGTGACGGAGACGTTTGTACACAAGCAAAGACGTTTCTCCGTTTTAAAAAAAGCAGCAAACACCCGGTGAACACAAAGGAGCCGCAGATGACAGACCGACGTGGCCCTGCACCACCCGTTGGGCCGCACCAGCAACCCGCCACACATCCACCCGCCCTCCCCCGTGCAGCTCGGTGATCTCTTTTCTTGCTTTACTAAAGTTTGATCTTGTTTTTTTTTTTGTCTTCTCCACGTCGCACTGAAGCTCAGCAAAGACAAACCGAGGTCTCGCATCGAGCAACACCGTTCAAATACTCGAGACGCTCAAACAGCAGCACGGACTGAGGGACGCGTGTAATTCGGCTGCTGTTCAACCTGACGGGTGACTGAGCGGCGCTCATTGTGCTCGGCTGGCCCTCACTGATTATCTGTCACAACGTTTGCGTTGCCGGCAGCACGTCGCGTGAAGCCTTTCTCCGTTGTGATCAACTGTCACGTTCTAACGCCGTATTTGTAGATTCTACTTGTGTGGGTCTGCTCTGCGCAACAAGTCATCGGGTGGCCTTCAACCGCCTGTAAAATACGTATCATTTCATTTCCCCGTGAATTCCTTTGTCATAAAATCTTTAGCCCTTTTGGAAGCATTGTGTTAAGGTTTCGGAAGCTCTCGAGGGAGGACTCAATCCTCTGTTCTCGTCCCGGCCGGAAACGAGGACACGAATGAGTCAATTCGTTTAAATTCAAAAATCAAAAGTTATTTAATAACTGAACAAAATTCAAAAATCAAAAGTTATTTAATAACTGAACAACGTAATAGGGATTACAATTACAAAGTGAAATACTAAGCGAACAGTGGAATATTTCGCGAAATAGAGAATCCTCTGAGCAAGTCTGAAGTGACTTATCAACGCGGCTGCAGGAGAAGTTCTAACAGTCTTTCCCCGCCATGGTCCTTTGAAACCTCTTGAGGTGTGTCTTCCTTGGTGCATTTGAATGTCATTGGCCTCTTCTCCAAAGGGTCACCTCCTCCATTGTCCCTTCCACGTCGAGGTGTGAAGCTGCAGCTGTAACCTGAAACCTCTCTGTCCTAGCTGTCCCTCACATTCCAATGCACTCAATGTAGATACATTCGGCTTTATGCCCCAATGAGTGAATTTAACAAAGCATACATCGTTTAAGTCTTCATCTTATAACTAGTACACTTTCATTACAACAACCCATCACTAATGATCACCGTTCATCACACTTCATCATAAGATCTAAAACAGTTCATGTGGTTCAATTCTCAAGACATTTGCCTCAGTCGGCTGCCTTACATTAAGTTGTTCATTTAGTACCTGACAGGAGAAAAAACTCCCAAAAACCCCTTTTTGGGGATAAAATTGGGAGAAATCCATAAAGAACGGCAATTGGCATCCGTCCCCAGGTTTTAACATCACATTGTGACAGAATGTTAATGTGTACAGTGTTTATATGATTTAAATGACTATGAATTGTGTTTGATTGAAATTGCATTCACTTCATCTAACATGTTAATGTAATAACTAATATCTAATAACACACAAACTATAATTCTAACACTAAACATCATTACACGTACTACAATTCTATGACTAGGGGTGCATTTCTGGCTTAAATCCCTAACAATTGAAGTGGCTGTACTAACTCACAAACTCCAAACACTGTCACATGTTGGATGTATTGAGTTGTTATTTATTGTAGCTGCATGGGTGCTATCCAGTGCTTTACTTATTCACTTTTATGTTCTAGTCTACCACACGACAATGAATGAAATGCCTCATTTTCGGCTGATTCGGGCAAACAAAGTTATCTTTGACGTCTCCACTCGACACCTTTGTCAAAGCTGGTTGCTCACAAGATAAAGACGGCAAACCAAGTCGTCGATTATTTTACGCATCTAATCTTCAGGCTCTCAAAACGGTGCCGTGTCCATTGCCGTGCGTCCTCCTGCACGGAAGCCGACAGGGCCGCCCGCTTCGCCGCCTGCGTCCTCGCCCCCTCGCCGCCGTTTCCAGCGGCATCGGAAAGATCAAGCGCGGACCACGTCGCCACACAACGCCCAGGCCTAAAAGGGCATCTCGGCGCTATCGACCCCACAGTCAGGAGCACTCGCAGTGGATTCCCTGAGAAGGGTGGAAACGGCGTGAGGGTGTCATCCGGAAAGGTCGAGGAGGACAGAAAGGTGGATGGTTCTCGTTTAACACAGAAAACTGCTCGTTATGCGGCGATGGCGGTGGCGCGGCGTGCATTATTAACGAGGTGTCTTCATCGCAGCGCAGCGCCGCCGCCGCACGTAGCGGGTGACGTTTATTAAGAAAACAACCCTTTCCGAGAGGTTTCCTCCGAGAGTCAAGTCTGGGGAGCAGAGCTCTTCTTACTTTAAGTGAATAACTTGGAGCTCTAGCGTTTGCAAATGAACACGTGGGGACGCGTGCTGTACGCGCGTGCACTACTCGCTCACACGGCCTTCAATTTGTACGGTTTTGCGAATCCACCACTTTGTTCCACATAATAATTATATAATTACCCCGAACTTGACATTCACGAATCTCCGAAGATGAATTATCTTCAATAACTTAAGCGACTACTTGACGTCGCGATGAGGTTCCCCTCTGTGCGCCGACTGAAACGTCACGGTAACTGTTTGGAGGCGTTGCCATGGCATCCACATTCGGTTTAAGCTCCAAGGTAAACCCATCAGCGACTTTTTAACCTTATTTCAAAGTGCGTATGTGTTGTGTTCTGGTTTGAGTCTCGCTTCAAAGGAACGAAGGTTAGCGAAGCTGCTGCAACAGCGTCGGCCATTTCACTGGAGAGCTTTTCTTTTCTTTTTTCAAAGAGCCAAACTGATGATTTCTCCCCGTTGAAAAATCTTTTTCTTCGCAATTCTCCCCCCGACTGCATCGGGCAAGAGCTTGACTGACAGACGGTTCGTCCAATCCGCGCTTCTCGGACGGTTCTCTGTTGAAGCCGTTCCGTTCCAAATGCTGCAGGTCAAGCAATAAACGGCCGCTGTCCTGTTTGTCACTTAATGTGTCTCGGAAATGAAAATGTAATTCCATTTGGGCTTCACTTGTCCCTGAAACAAATGACGCCATGAAACTAACTACCATTTTAGAGATGGAGTCTGGAAATATGGAGTCATCCTCAGAGATGTCGGCTTGTTAACTTTACCCCCCCGGGCGAACCCGACGTATCGCTCCCTCCTCTCTGGTTATCAAATAATATCGGAGCTCTCCCTCCTGTGTCGCATTCTCTGGCTCCTTTTTGTACTTTCCCGCCAGCTTCACTGAAGGCCACTACATGTGTGTGGGCTGTCCTTTCTGCAACTATGCTTCTGCACGACCTATTGAATAACGAAAATAAAATAATAAATAGGAAAAAAAGCGCATCCGCACAGGTGTAAGTATTACGCCGTTGCTAAAAGCGTTCGCGAACCACTTCAACAGCTGCGCATTCATCCAAAAAATGCACAAAGAGCGGCGTAATAATGGTTTGAGAATGAGCAGGTCCGCGGACGCGTCACATGGTAATGTGACAGCTCGTAGCCGGGCTCCACTCGCCGCGTTATTGTTCACTGAGAGCAAGTGTCAGTCATTTCCCTCTGCAGACCAAAACCATGAATAATCGTCACTTCAAGGAACACAAGAACCCAGCGCCGAAATGACAGCAATTAAATAGCGGCGGGTCGAAGGTCGAAGACGGCAGCGCCGGCCTTTATTGTGCTGCCGTGAATGTGTTTTGATTCCATTATGCGGCGGATGATGGGCTGGGAATTCTCTAATGCCAGCCGCTTGTCTCCTGTTAAATTAGAGAAATAGATCCTTGCTTCTCAGAGCGTTGCCATTCACCTCCGTTCCCCACCTGGCTGAACGGGCCGCGGGTTCGTCTGAACGGCTCTCCGTTAAATCTTAATAGACTTCCCGAGGCAGCGGGCCTCTGTTGCAGGTGATTAATGATCAGATGTCATCATTCAGCTGTTGTCTGAGTGAGTGAAGCTTTAATAATCCAGCAGCTCTCTTTTGGAGGGGACCGGATCTCCGCCTGATGGAGGAAAAATGGGAAGATGACGTTTTCAGGACGTTTGTGGTGCAAATTCTTTACACAGCAAAGTATTTCCGTGTGTTTTCAGCATCGGTTTGATGTTGACTTTTGTTTCCACTGACAGTGCAGTTTGTGTGGAACTGTAACTCTGGTCTGATGAGAACAATGTATTCCAGAGATTATTTGACTTAAACGTTTTAAATCTCTCTTGCTCCTGCTTGCTAGGATTCACTGTTTAACCTGTTTTTATGGTTAAGTTCCTCGGAGGACTGAGCGGCCTCGGCACACGTGATGGATGCTTAGATGTGGACGCCTCTACGCTCCGTGCGTGACGCTGCATATTGTTAGATGATAAACGCTTGTTGTCCAAGTCACGGGGGAAGACGACGTTCAGTCGGTGTGGACGGGGAAAACACGAGGGGCCTTTGGACGGGTCAACGGGGCGTGAGTCTGCGGCTGGATGATAAGGGGGTGATAACAATAGATATTCATAGATTATACATTTGATCTATATCCTTTTTATCACGCAGTTGAAAGAGTGGCTTACGGACAGATAAAACAATGAATGATTTTGTCCTCATCGGTTTTCATAACCAATAATAATATGGATGATAACACCACGGTAACCGAGTTCATGCACGGTTGTTCCAGCTCGCCCGGCCTTAACAGGGGTGCGATGCCGGGTTGCACGTGTAGCCGCGTTGCAAATGTTTACTGAGAACTTGACAACGTGCAACTTGCTGTTTTAAGTTCAAACCTGAGTGAAATGACAGTGATGCATTCTGAGTCCATTGATCGTTCACAAGGAGACGATTCAAAGCCCGACCTTTACTTGTTCTCACGCTCCGCATTCCCCATGAGCTGGCAAATCCTTTAAGTTCTTCAACGAGACCCATTCAGCCACCATGCATTCCCCCGCGTGCGCACCAACAAAGCATACATGACCTGCAGGTGTGTAATTACGTTTGAATGTAACGTTACACACAGTCTGCCGTCCGTAACACAACGGCCCTCCAACAAAAAGCTCTCAATGTGTCACCCGGCTGTCAATGGGCTGTCCCTGCTGATGAGGTGTTGCCAGATCGCCATCGTACTGGGAAATAAGCTACATGATGACCAACATGACTTATATGTTGGTCATCATCTGAGCAATTTAGGAGCAACTGGCAAAAGCCGAAGTTCAGAAGAATCAAATATTCTGCCATTTGGATCTGCGGGCTGCAGGAGGACGGGCTGTCGGGCTTTAATTGGGAGTCCTTTTCAAGAAAGACATCCGTGCTCGTGGCCTATTCCTCCATAACGATACGGCGGCATCCAGAGGCAAGTGGAGATGAACTCCGGACCTCCAGCCTCCGCTGCTCCAACAGAGATAAATAGTGGAGCAGGAAAGCCTGCCGGCTCTTTCAGGTTGGCTACAATATGCAGACTGGCTCTCACTGCACTGCGGCTCATTAATGAGCGCGCTTCCCGCCGATCTGCCCTGTTAGAATAGTGGAAAGTCTGGTTAAGGGAAACCTTCTCTTTAAAAAACAACAATCTGTTGTTTTTTTTTACTCATTTGCAGTGAGGATCTTTCATTTTGTGGTACAGACCAGTGGTTCTCAAATGGGGGGATTTTAAAAAGATGTGGATATTTTTGAAATGATCATCAGCATTCATTCACTCAAAAGGGATGAACCCATGAATGTCAGTATAAGAATCAAGCAAATTGTCTTACAGGTTGAGAAAATATTTAATCTCTAAAACACTGCAAGTAATTCAACTCTCGTAGTACAGATATCACCAAATGAGAGGCCTTGTGATAACAACATACACTGATCCTCACTGATGCTTGGATGTCATTTCTGTTCATTGCTGGGGTATTTAATATAAAGTACCGTAAAAAAAACAGTATTTTTCAGCAATTCCGGCACATTAAAATGATAAAGCACAATTGTTGAAATTCACACTAAATCTCCAGAACTCTTAAACAAATTGTCTTCCTGAAACCTTTAAGAAACACTCCCATTCAACTGGCTAATACGTGCATGATCATTGACTTAAAGTGGGCTTCTCGCCGATTGTTGTATGGTTTTGAAGGCGGTGTTTCATTATGCATTAACGGGATAGTCTGTGGTTGGGTGAATAGTGTCTGGTACAGAATAAGCCCTGTTTTCAATCGTAAAAAGCGCAATGAATTCGAAGTTAATGTCACGGAATAACAACGTTAAAATACCTTAACAAAAAGAATTGCGCAATTAGAGCATCAAATGCAATCCTGAAGCATCCAAAACAGATTAGACTTCAAGCGAGTCCTCTCGCTCGGCCGCGAGCGCGTCTCATTTACAATATCGAGCTGATCTTCCACACCCGAGTTCATTTTCCCAGAGTGATTAAAATGTCACAGCGGAGCCCGTAATGCATCCTGACTCAGAGTTCCACCACGGATCGGGAATGAGACTGTAAATTATCCCCAAAGACCCAAAGCGTTGACTCTGAGTGAAAAGGTGGTAATCAATCAGAGCACTTCACTCAAATGTCAGTTAATTAAGGTGTGTGTGTGTGTGTGTGTGTGTGTGTGTGGCCCACAGAGCGAGGTGTCCTTATTAAAGTTTGCGCTCCTCTGACACATGCATACTAATACAGATGCTGAGAAACTTAGTAATTACCCTCCAAGCGATTCCATTGATATTACAATCATGTCAAGTTTCTCGGTGCAAATAACCGTCACCGGGCTTTTCAGTGACCTCACCCACTGGCACCGAGACCCTCGACTGGATCTCTCACTCCCAAATGATACAAAATGTGAAGAGGTGTGACATTAAAGGTAAGTGAATGCACAAATAAATCGCCCGATAACAACATAATTGAATATTCACCGTGCCCCCTCCCCCTCCCCCCCCGCGGTTCCTCATTAACATCACATGGAGACAAAGTCATCACCGGCCGCTCCTTTGATCTTTGGGCCGCGCCGTCTTCTCCACTCGCTGCAGTTGAGACAAACGTCAGTTGAAGCTGATGGACTTTGAGATTCACACTTTAAGTTTCATATTCTCATATAAAGTAAAAAGAAGCAGAAGTGGCGCGCAGTAAAACCTTGATGTAACGCCATTAGCTTTGATGTCGCGTCGATGTCCTCGGGCTGTGTGTGCACGTGTAGACACAACGTGTAGAGCCATGGCAGCAGTACAGTTACACACTATTTTAAAGGTGCACCTGTTCGCTGTGTGCGTCCGCGTTGAGCACGCCGAAAAATGTTCACAATTGACGAGCCGGATCGCGAAGACTGTTGTGCTCGCAGCGCCGAAGATCCTGCAGGCCACGAAATGGTTAAGTTTGCGTGTGTGTGCGTGTGTGTGTGTGTGTCCTCATGAAAGACTAATAGTTGCCTCGTGGTCCTGAGGCAACAACTCAGGATTCATAAATAAAACTAAATGGATCAATATTTTTCAATACTTGAGCTTGAGAGAGAAAGGTTAGCGTTCAATCACAGCCCCCCCCCCCCCCCCCCCCCTCCCGTCCCCTCCCGCAGTGATGTATTAAAGTGTGATTCTCCATCATCAGAACTACGCAGAAAATGTACCTGTTTTCTCAAAACTGATTCACACGCTGCTCCATCCAGAGGTTCGGACTCCTCTGAAATCGGGAAAAAGTTCAAACAAACCGCAGCGCGTTCAGCGTCCGCTTTTTGGTTCCTTCAGGGTGACAAACTGAGGAGGAGGCGTTCATTGTCTCAACAGCCCACATAAGAGGCTCATTCATCAGCTTTTATTGAAGCCAAGTGTCGGGGCACAATGACAAATTGCGCTCGGGGGGGGGGGAGAAAAAAACCCACATGACACAAATGTGACACGTGGAAACATCTGCCTGTGGTTGGCCGAGTCGTTACCGTGGCAGCATGATGGCGATGATGCATCTTGTGATTGTACCAGATGACCCGGCGCCGCGTCGCGCAGATGGATCCTCGTGTCGTGTTTATTTGGGTTTTGGCCACAGCTATTCGGTAGCTGTCAGTCATGGAACTATATTTTCTATACCGACGTTTTGGACGTTGCAACCACCGTCGAGTCCTGAACCCGGAGAAACCCTTTCAGAGTTGCATGTCGGGCTTCTTTCGGTGCTTTTGGGGGAAACTCAAAGCAGGACGATGCAAAGCGAATGAAGGAGGAACAAAACCTCGCTGCCTGCGTCAGAAATCCCCGGTGAAATAGTGCAGGCGACATGCATGAGATCGAGATGGACGATGCATTTAAATTCAGTGTGACTTGTATAAAAAAAAAAAGAAGATCTCAACTGTTGGATTTTACGAATGTTTTATTCATCGGTCTGACTAACATACATAAACAGGACGAGTCATTTCCATTTCCTGCCTCCATACTTTCACAATCCAATGCATAGGAAATGTGAATTCATCCCAACACACGCGGCGCGTTTAGAACTTGATGTTTGTGATTCGATGTGGATTTACTTTTCCTCTGACGCGGACATTTTTTATACGGGGGATGAAAGACGTGCGAAAAAAAGGTAGGGAAAAAAAAAACAAGCTCCTGGTCCAGAAAAAACAAGCCTCGCTGACTCATCCGTTTGTGTTTTTTTCTCTTTCCCTCCCAAGGGGACTGATGCCTCGAACGCTAGACAGCCAGATCACCTTAGAGAAGACGCCCAGCTACTTCGTCACCAGAGAGGCCCCGCGACGCATCTCCAGCATGTCCCGCGAGACCAAGCTCATCGTGGTGGTGCGCAACCCCGTCACCAGGGCCATCTCCGACTACACGCAGACCCTCTCCAAGAAGCCCGACATCCCCGCCTTCGACCAGCTGGCCTTCAAGAACAGGAGCCTGGGCGTGGTGGACGCCTCCTGGAACGCCATCCGGATCGGGATGTACGCGCTGCACCTGGACAACTGGCTGCAGCACTTCCGCCTGTCGCAGATGCACTTTGTGAGCGGCGAGCGGCTGATCACGGACCCGGCGGGGGAAATGGGCCGCGTGCAGGACTTCCTGGGGCTGAAGCGGATCATCACGGACAAGCACTTCTACTTCAACCGAACCAAAGGCTTCCCCTGCCTGAAGAAGCCGGAGAGCAGCGGGCAGCCGCGCTGCCTCGGCAAGTCCAAGGGCAGGACTCACGTGCAGATCGAGCGCGAGGTCATCGAGCAGCTGCAGGAGTTTTACAGGCCGTTTAATGTCAAGTTCTTTGAAACTGTGGGGCAAGACTTCAAGTGGGACTGAGGGGGGGGCGGGGGGGTGTACGGGAACAGATGGGATGTGCCTCTAAATGGTGTTTGTGGGATTTGGGTTATTCTGATGGATGCAGAGGCCGAGTTTCTTTGCCGCAGCCGTCGACAGAAAAGCGGCATTAACGGTATTGTTGACGTGTTCGTTCTGCTCTAAAAGGTCCGTCGCGCAGAGCAGAGAGTCCCAGCGCAAAGTTGCACCAAATGAGCCGGGCAATTATTCCTCGGAGAGCTTCTCCTTCTTCTCCTTATTATTGTTGAAAGGTCACCTGCAGGTTTGCCGGATACATGTATTGCAACTGAAAAGGTAAAAAAAAAAATAAACAACAGCTATATTTAAACAGATGCTATAACTCTGACAAAGGATTACCGTTTATTCAACTTCAGCGCTTCCCGTGTCAGTATTTTTGTTGTGATCATCAAAATAAAAAAGGTAAAAGTCTTGAAGTCAAGTGTCTATTTGGGATATTTTCTGCTTTTCTTGCTACAAATGAGCAAAAGTGTTGTTTTTCCTCAATGGTCTCCAGTATACATCGAGCCCGTCTCCTACAAAACGACTCCTTCCTCCTGGATTTTGTTTGTAATTCATGTGGTAAATGGAGAGAAAAAAAAACAGACTATTTGGGTTTGGTGAAGAAAATTGAAATGAATTTGGAACGAAACAAAATGACTCGTGTCACTCGGGACACAACCAGCCGTCTTCACAGGACCGTTTTTTTTTCACCATCTAATTTCATTGAGACATTAATAAAAAAAACAAATGTAAACCAGGGCAGTTTTCTCATATGGGAACGCGACTAAAGAAAAGGATCATATCTCTTCCTTGAGAGCAGCGGCTTGTTGATTCGGGACACGACGTCTCCAGTCCAAATCTCTGAGACGTATATTAATCAGAAAGGAGTTGCTCAAAAGATAAACCCTTATCAGATAAACGCTTACCACTGATCTCATTAACTCCTCCTCCTGAAGGGCCAGATTGACCTCCTGGATTTGCATATCGGAGCCAATCAGACTCGTCATTAATACATTCCCACTCGTCTCCAAAGGTCCTCGACTCAAAAGAGGAGGGAGGAGAAGTGCCGAGAGACCCAAGAATCGGTGCAGGGAGGTAACAGCGGTGACAGGAACGATGCTACCGACCTCAGAGGGGACGGAGGTGAAACATCAGCAGCGAGCGCGTCTATCGGACGGACGGATCAGCGCGGGATTAAGAAAACCTCGGCGATCGCTTTGACCTCTCCGGGTAAATCCTTGTGTTCAGTATGAATAAAGTTTGTTGAAAAGCCATTCGAGCCCAACGCTGCCGAGGCCTCGTCGTCCTCCTTCATCGGCCGCTTGCTTGTGCTTTCTGTTTATGGTAAATCTAAAGTGTTTCCTGGGGAGACTATTTAACGGCCGTGTTGATCAGATAATATGATAATGGATGCAAAGCTTGCAACGGTAGAGATGATTGCAGTGTTTAATAGTCCCTCCACAGGTGTTCCATTGTTTAATCCCCCGCTGCAGGCCTGTGAACGAGCAGCTCCCCCAACCAATGCACGAGAGCGACAATGCAACCTTCCGCGTAAAGCAAATTAGATTTTCACCTGCGTTGCGATTGTGCTCCTGCAGCACACGTCCGGCGGGCCGGCGGCAGTATTTCAACTGTCAGTTGTGATACTCTACACTCGTTTTTTGATTAACCTGCCAAAGCCGGCTGCTTCTCAGCGAGCCGTCAGCGGACGCAACACTTTAACAACTTTATCTCAGCTCAGTTAATTAGAACTTTTCCCCAAGAACGCTGTGGGCGCGATGACACGGCACCGGGGGGGAAATGTTTTTTATTTAAATGCAGAGCTGCCACCGCGTGATAGCCGCTGAATTCTTTTAAGTGACACCAGGCCTGCGCATGGCCTCTTTAATTGTGACTTCAGTCGGAGAATAGCAGGTAATCGTTTGGGGGAATATTAGATTCATATTTATATAGACAGTATTGTTGTCATGCAAATGTTGCAATTTCATTATTAAATATACAAATGAGGCTTTAGCTGTCGCTGACTGTTGATGGATTTACGAGAAATCTGCAAATGCAAATAGAAAGTAGTCAGACAAACGCCTAAACATGTACTTTGGCTGTTTTGTTCCCAGTAGTCTGAAAGAAGACGTTCTAAGGAATCAAAATACGACGAAAGTGTTGATGTTTTTGTGCACCGCTAAAGGGATCTTTCTTTCTTACGTATCAGCTCCTCGTTACGAGTTAGTTTTCACAGGTAAAAAGCTGTCTGACCATTCTAAACTAAAGTAAATGACCAAACACGTACATGTGCTTTGAGGGGTTCAATAAAATCAATTACCTCCTTTGACCTTCTTATTAAATGAAAATTAATAATGAGGCAGCATTCAAATGTATGTTTTGCAGCCGCCTCTTAAGGAATCCAGAGCTTTTGAGCTCTTTCATAACCGCTGCCTTAAAAGAAAAAAAGCAGAAAAGCCAGAAAACCCCAAAAAGCACGATTCCAAAAATTCATCAAAAACATCAGAAATACAATGATGATGAAGGAGGCTGAGAACGTCGACGATATTTATCGACTTCTCGCGGGAATCCGGTTTGTACGGATTTGTTTACGGATGTCACTTTGAATTTACACATTGCTTCATTCCAGTTTCTCCGAGGAGATGCGTTCGACACAGCGTTGAAGTAATCATACAGAGATGCAGAGACATCTGCTTGTTCTCCGCCGTGAGCCGAAGCCACGGAGGATAATGAGCACGTTTCTTGTTTCCACAGCGGACAATGAGAGGAGCAGGATTTGGAACTTGGCAGCCACGAACCTCATCAAGCACCGCTGCACCTTCTCAACACACGAATCCCCCCCCCGGATTGTTTTCCTCGGCAGACGCTTGTTTGCTCGGGATTCTGTTTCACGCTTTCATCGAACACAGCCGGCGAATTCCGTGTCACAGGAGTCCCGGGCGAAAGAAGCGCGCGTGCTAAAACCTTTCCCCTCTGGTCCGTCCGACGCCTGCCGCTTGCTTCGCGTTCGGAAAGGTCAAAAGTGCAAAAAACGCGGCTGCCGGCGGTCGGCTCATTAAGGACCAGCTCCCGCGGGGAGAACAAACATGTGGTTTCACACGCAACGTTGATGGTGGTGTCGCCACCCGAGGGGAACCACAAGAGGGGAGGAAATGGTTCCACGGCGACAACGGAGACTTTAGGTCAAGTCCTTGTCCACGTCCAAAAAGGAGCCGCGCCGCTTTCACCGCTCCTGTCCTCGAGACTTTTGCAATCCCAGCAAAAAAGGAGCACCGCTTTGCTCTGAGTTCACCGGACTGCTAATGGGCGGGAAAATGGGAAAGCTAGCGGGTGATCTGAACGCCGTTAGCCGCGGCCTCTTCCCCGCGCGGCCGGTGCAGCCATTCTCGCCTTTCCGGGAGAAGCGCCTGATTTCCGCCCGTTCTTCTCCTACGAGCCACGAGTCCACGGCACCGAGACCCTCGCCGTGATCGATCCCGCGCGCTTGCGCCGCGTATTTAGATGGGAACTATTAACGCCGGTTTGGGATTCATGGCGGCTAATGAAAAGGAGCCGTGAAGCCGCCGCCGGCTGCGTCCAGGCCCGCCAGCGCCGCAAAAACACGACGTGGCCTGTTGATGAAAAGCTTCGTTTCCCCTCCCGGGTCCGGTCGTTCTGGGGGAAGTACTTCCTTGAATATAACGCTCTGTAATCGTGGAACTAATGGCTTTACTTTGGAGAACAGGGGGCCGTAATGGGAGTGAAATGGAAAAGCCTCTGAGATTGCTCCTCCGTGCCAGATTCTCAGAGGGAAATCGTCACAGATTGCAGTGAAGCTTTTTGCAATCACACTGGCGCTGGTTTAGTGTAATGTGACTCATCAAAGCCTTCCCATTGTGTCATTACGTTCATGCTTCCAGCGGAAACGGCCTCATTCACTCTGCTTCTCTCATCCAGAGGAGCGACACACAAACCACATATTAAATCGTTTAACCACCAGCTCCCTGATTAATCTTCCTCTGGGACGCTTGAGTCTCTGTGTCTTTAACCGGTGGAATCCGACACTGCAGATTTTTGAAAACAGATCCACATCTTTATATTAAAAGACTTCTTTCAAAGTTAAATACGAGATAAAAGAAAGATTTATTAACCTCCGAGGTTTGTTTTGTGACTTATTCAAGAACCATTTTGATGAACGTCTCCATGTTCTTTCCGGGCATGTTGGATGGAAGAAGCCTTTTGTGTGTCTGTTGGTTAAATGGAGACAGCGATCCGGTCTCTCTTCGAAGGCAACACAAATATCAGCTTCTTTAATCTGCACGAGGGGGAAAAAAAGGTGTGAAAGAAAACAGTTTTTTTCCATTTGGCTTCAGGCCACTGCGGAAATAGTCTGTTCGTGGCGTCGAGTGACGTTTCTTACACTCCAGTTTTTCGTGGAGATCAAACGAGTTGCTGTGTTTGTTTTGTGCGCTGTAGACGCGCTGCTGAAGTTTGTTTACTGCGCGGCTGCCTGGATAAATCACGGGATCACGCTGCACCTAATTTTAGAGAGCGCCGCTGACGAACCGGCAGCGTGGATCTGCCTCTGACGTGGGGGGGTGATATCATTTCAGCGTTCGCTGGTTCTACTTTGGAACCCGAGTCTCGTTCGGCTCTCCAGACGTAAATTTACACTGCGCGACATTTTCCGGTCAGAGAACCCCGCAGTGAAGATTCGCCAACAGCTGTCCTCATTTACATCTTAACGGCTCCAAAAGCCGCTCGAAGGCAACAAAGGAATCGAATGTGAGAAGCACGACGAGTTGCACCACACGGACTCACGATATGGGAGGATATTATTCATGTGTAGTGACACAACCGGGACTCACACGGCCTTTTTTTCTCACAGCATCAAAGACGTTTGTCTGCCGATTATCGAAAGTGGTCCATCAACCACATTCAGTGGGTTCTTCTGAACAGACACAGGAAGCAGCATCTATGAACGGGTTTAAGGTTTGTCCAGAGAAAGCAGGTCAGAGGTCGGACATCTGAATCAACGACGTTTCTGCTCTCCGTGTTAACTTGAAGCGTCGCTGCTGATTTTCCTTTTCCTCTGTTTCCTCGTGGTCGCCGACCGAGATCATCGACCGACTTTGAGGCGCGTGTCTTTTCCTCTCGCCGCCGACGCGCTGAAGATGGTTCCAAATGTGTTTTTCTCTCCCGACTTGAAGAGAAGACGGCACTTGACGATTCGAGGGTGCCGCACGGGAGCCGTCCGCTCGTAGCAGCTCATTGAAGTGCGGATCGCATTATCGCCGGCAACCATTCGGCCACGAGGTCTCAGCTCACGCTCACGTTTGTGTGAAAATGCCTTTTAAGAGAATACTTTAAGGTTGGTGATTGGAAATCTCGGATTTAGAATCGCTGCGAGTTCCATGAAACGGGCCCTGCAGACGCTCGCCATCCGCGGATAACC